GTGCACTGTCAAATCAGATCTGACTGGTACAGGAGGAGATTGTCCCTCCTTCCCCGGCAGAGCATCTGGTGGATTCGAACCGTTCGCCTCTGGGATTGTTGGTTTTAAACCATACAGTGTTCCCTTGTTCCATTTGAACAACAGCTTCTTAGTCTATGTATTAATTTTGTATGGGCACAATTAAGTGTTCTTCTCAATGTTACCCATAGTTTGTTACGATCTACACAGTAAGAAGTATCATGATTAAGAAAAGGTTGATGTTAACAATTTTACTTTACTCAGATTCACAATCAATACCGTTGGTCAGCAGTCAGGAGATCAAAAGATATGTTGCTCTGGGAAAATCTGCTGTTAAGGACCTCTCCAGAGTGCTAAATAGAAACAATGTCAATCTAGAGACTAAGGTGTATCTCATCTAAATTGCTTGCTATGCATCTGAGAGCTGGACGATGCCTAAGGATAACAGAATAAGAATCAATGCCTTTGAGTTGTGGTGCTGGAGAAGAGTATTGAACATACATGGACTGATGAGGCAATGGACTTGATCTCACATACTTTGTGCATGTTGTCAGGAGAGGTCAGTCCTTGGAGAAAGACATCATGCTTGGAATGATGGAGGGTCAGTGCAGGACAGAAAGACCTTGGATGAGAGGGATTGACACAGTAACTGTGGCAATGATGTCAGGTTTGTCATAGATGGCTAGGTTGGCTCAGGATAGGACAAGGTTCAAAGCTGTTGTTCATATAGGGTCGCTATGAATTGTAGTCAACTTGGCAGCACTTAACAACAACAACAACAACCAACTTAGCATTTCTTTCTATTATCTATCACTAACCTGTAGAAAATATTTTCCATTTATAGCTGTGGAAAGAAACTTGAAATGTTGATTACCATCAATGCTATTCCCAAAATGTGGTCTAATTATTAAGTTTATATTTTACTGTCAATTTTTTAAAAAGCAGTTATACTGAACTCAGTTGTGCCAAACAGAAGGCAAGCAGATAGAATCCGCTGGCTACAGTGGGAGAAAGATGACCAGTATCTTCCTGAGTGATTTACAGACTTTGAAACACCCTCCAGCTGTGAGTTGGTTCTGACTTAACGGCACATAACAACACCCTAATGTGGTAATATATTTGGTTTAATGCAATTGTGATGCTATATATTTTATTTCTTAAAAGAATCTATATGCTCATCAGATTATCAAAATGTTCTATAGGCAGAACAACATTTTCATGGAAATTTAGTTGTTAGGGCCTTTTAAACAATGTTTACTTAACTTTTCACTTAATTGGTAATTTAACATTATTTAAAATTCAGAAGAGCAAAGACTTCAGCCTGCAATATAGATTGCATCTTAAAAGATTATTAAGACAAAAAAAATCCTCACTAATGGACTGATAATCAACATTATGAGAGATGGAGAAAAGATTGAAATCATCAACAATTTCATCTTGCTTGGATTCACAGTCAACATCCTTGGTACCAGCAGTCAGGAGAGGAAACAGATTGCATTGGAAACATCCACTGTCAGGGACCTTGCCAAATTACTAAGGAGGAGTAATGATGCCAATTTGAAGATGAAGGTGCACCTGATTCAGGTCATGGCTTTTTCAGTCACTTAATATGCATCTGCGTGCTGGACAATGAAGAAGGATGGCAGAAGAATTGATGCCTTTGAGTTGTAGTGTCAGAGAAAAACACTGACTATTGCATGGACTGCCAACAGAATAAACAGGTCTTTGGAAAAGTGCTGCCAGTGTACTCTTTGTAGGCAAGGATGACAAAGTTTTGTCTCATACTTTGGTCATATTGTTAGGAGAGGCTCTTCCTTGGAGAAAGACATCATGCTTGAAAAGGTGGAAGATCAGAAAGAGGAAGATCCTTGACAAATGAGTGTCATAGAGACTGCACCTATGGACTCAAGTGTGTCAAAGATGATGAGGATGGGACAGGACTGGGTCCAGATCTTTTGTTCACAGGGATCCCATGAATCATCCTCAACTGAAGGACACCTGACAGTTTAACTTTTTGATTAATTTAGTAGTTTGCCATTCAAAAGATGAACCTGGAATCTTAAATCCATACTACTCCTGTTAGATGCCTTGGGAGTTTATTTTGATGCACAGTGACTGTGTGACAGAGGAGAATGACAAAATGCATAGAGGGGCCCTGATGGTACAATGGTTAGTCACTTGTCTAATAATGGAAAGGTAGGTGGTTCCAGAGAGGTGCAAGAGTCTATTTCTGGAAAGATTTACAATGCTAGATCTCTTCTACTGACCTATGCTGTTGTTATATGCTCTCGAATCACCTGGAACTCATAGCGGCCTTATGTACAATAGCTCTGAAGCTTGCTCTATCCTGAACCAATTAATCTCCCTGATATTAACACATCTACCCTCATTGCCCCAGATACTGTAGCAATCCATCTAGTCCATGGTCTTCCTCTCCTGTGCTGTCTCTCCACCCTTTCAAGCATGTCCCACTCCAAAGAACAGTCCCTCCTGGCTACATGCCCAAAGTATGTGAGACAGCTTCATGATAGATGGAGAAAAGATTGAAGTTGCTAGTGATTTAATTTTGCTTGGATCCACAACCAACACCTATGATAGGCATGGTCAAAAAGATCAAAAGATGTGTTGCATTGGAGAATTATGCTGCCAAGAACCTTTTTTAAAGAGATAAAAAAACAAAGATAACTTTAAAGACAAAGGTCCACCTGTTGCAAGTCATGGTATTTTCAATTGATTCCTAGGCACCTAGAAGTTGAAAAAAAAGAATAAGAAAGACCAATGCTTTTAAATTGTAATGTTGGAGTAGAGTAACGGATATCTTTCCAAAAGAACAATCAAATTTGTTTTGGAGGAAGTGCAATCTCATTGCTCCTTAGAGGCAACGATGATGACACTCTCTCCCATACTTTGGGCATAGTATTGGGAGAGACCTGCCCTTGGAAAAAGACATTGTGCAAGGAAAGCTTGGCAAAAGAAAGGAAGACTCTTAACAAGATGGATTGACACAGTGACTACAACACCACATTTGGGAATATCAGAGATGGCATGGTACAGGATAGGGTAGGGTTCAGGTCTGTAATTCACAGGGTTGCTATGAGTCACACTCGAAAGCTTCTAACAAGCAGATTGCCAGGGCCTTTACCTGCTGAACCACTGGGTTGGTTTGAATCACCAAATTTTAGGTTAGCAGGCTGATCACCATTGCCAGCAAAGTGCTCATTTGAGGGTTTGGTATTAGGGTGACTTTGAAAATGCTCATGTTAAGCAATATATTCCATTTTAATATTTGGCTTTGAAGGATCTGGCCTTTGTAAATTTATTTCTCGATTTGGACTTTCAACCCCCCTCCCCCCAAAATTAACTCTCCCAAAAAATTAAACTGTGGTAAAAGTAACACGATTCCAATCACCCCAGCCCGTGCTTTCCTTGGACATTGTGACATTGTTTTCCTGTCAGACGGAGTTGTGAATTGAAAAAAATCAACTTGCCTGACTGATGTTCCTAGCAGAGGGTTGACTCACTTCTAAGGGTGAACGGACTGTCTCTCTTGTTTAGCAGTCTGTGGATTGTCCAGAGAAACCTTTGCCAGATTTCCTCTGCTACTCAAAGGGTTAAAAAACCGTAGAAAACCACGGAAGGCTGTACATTCATTTCCTTAGTTGTTTAAGCCAATGGAAACGCGACTTCGGAATACCTCCGTCCTGTCTATTCCTCACGTTGTCATTTTCTGAAACACTGAAACTGTCCAATGGGAGATTACTCCTTAAGAGCCTTAATTTACATAAACCCTTTGTACTAGACTGCACCAGCTAGTCCGCAAGAGTTTAGGCCCGTGCCTTGTTAAGTTTGCAATACTCGTGTTTGATAGTGTATACAATGCAAGCCAGCCCTTTTAAGTGACTTAGTGGGCGGCCCTGAAAAGGGCCTTTTTTTTGGTAGTTATGACTGATTACTCAACCTCCGAAGCCATAGAGGGTGCGTCCCTGGCGCTTGAGCGCGTAGACCACGTCCATGGCGGTGACAGTCTTGCGCTTGGCGTGCTCGGTGTAGGTGACGGCGTCCCGGATTACGTTCTCCAGGAACACCTTCAGCACCCCGCGGGTCTCCTCGTAGATGAGGCCGGAGATGCGCTTGACGCCGCCACGCCGAGCCAGGCGGCGAATGGCGGGCTTGGTGATGCCCTGGATGTTATCTCGGAGCACTTTACGGTGGCGCTTAGCGCCTCCTTTGCCCAAACCTTTCCCTCCTTTCCCACGACCAGACATGTTCTCAACTGAGAAGATAACGTCCGTTTGTGGCAAGTCCTTAAATAATAGGCTTGCGGACCTAGTTGAAAACTCGAAGCGCCAGTGGAGTTCCCGCCCCAAATTAGGTCATCAAAATGAGGGAGGGGAAGGCTAAAGAAAGGCAGGCGGTTTGTTTTCAGTGTTTTGATTGGCCAATGAAACCTTGCACTTCCTTGGACGGGTTAAATGGATGGCTCAGGATTTCATCCTGCTGAAAAGCTTGTTTGCGTAGTGTCTTAATCGATTTGTCCACGCGCATTGGCAAGTCGAAAGTATTTTCATCAGTTCATCAACACCGAGGAAAGAGCCTTAATTTATTACTACGTAATAACGGACATAATGGCTTTCCTTTGGTAAATAGAAAACTTGAGCGGAAAATTACAAATCAAGGAATATCCCTGTCATTCTCCGATAATCCTATTCCAGTTTGACAATTTCTTCATGTCTGAGAAATTATAAACCTGGCCATAAAGGAGTCTTTCCTTTTCCTGAAGCTCTTAAAGTTTTGTGGTCGGGAAGCCAAACAAAGATAAAGAATACGGTATTAAAATCTTGTAATTGTGAACTTCTTCCTCTTCTACCGCAGTATCTTAATTTAAATAAATTTCTTAATATCTAGGAGAGAAGGGTTTAGTCAGTTTGGATATTCAGTGGTTCCGACTCAATTCTAAACTGACTTCCCCTTGTTTGATCTGCCTACAGGCAACCACAGTCAACAAGCTTTGCTTCTCTCCTTTTTAATCCCTTTTCAAACGGCTCCAGTTTTAGAGAGAGAACTCAGCTTTCATAGTTAGGGATTAATTGTAGGGTAGGGCTAATACTCGATTAAGGTCATACAAAGCCTATAGGGTATGCCTGTGGGAGGCCTTTGATAAGATTATTGGTGTTTAAAACAGAGCTAATCCTATGGGGTGGGGAGTAGGGGGAAGTCCAAAGTAGGTGAATGGATTTGACTGGTTTGAAGAGACCTCTCAAATCACATTTGTCTTAGCATCCTGTTGCACCTTTTAAGAATCATTCTGTTGAGGTTTTTCAAAAGACGTCTTTAAATTTATTAAGTGCCTATTGTGAATGTATAGAATGAGTCTATGGCCTGAGATAAAACAATTACTTTTTAGAAAAGAAAGAGAAGACAACATATAGTCAATGAGTAAGACATTGGAAGAGGGAAGGAAAGTTTTAGATGGCATATGATCTTTGATACACTTGAAATCATTAAGCACTTGCATTGTTCAAGCCGGAGGATGAGAATTTTCAAGATTCTGACCCTCTCTTGGATGGTTTAGTGGGTAAGGAGTTGTGCTGTCAACACAGAGGCAGGCAGTTCAAATCCATCTGGTGCTTTTGGAGGGGAAAGATGGTCCTTCCTCCTATAGATTTACACTCTCTGAAAATCTTCTGGAGGATCAGTTATGAGACAGTTTCAACTGACAGTAATAAGGTTTTTTGAGACTCTCTCTGCTCATCTCCACCACAGACACAAACCATGTAAAAGATTTAGCTAGAAGTGGATGTGAAATATTGTAGAGAATAAGTGCGAAAATTGACACCTTAAGTAAAAACTCTGAAATATCAAGATGCATTTTAATTTATGGAAATAAGTACGATATATTCAAAATGATATTTTCATTCAAAAAAGACAAAGTGTGTGACACACCAACATACACCAGCAGATACCATCTTCATTTAAAAAAGAAAGTCTAGGTGGGCTTTTCCCCAATTTTATTTTACCCGATATATCTTTGCTAAAACTTCAATTTTCTTTTCAAGGTCTTTTGAGTACCAAATTATCACCATTGCTTGCTCCTCCTTCAATTAGATCTCTCTGTTGTTATGACACTCCTATGATACCCATGAAAGCAGCAGTCAAGAAATTAAACTGTGTATTGTTGTTAGGTACCATTGAATTGACTACAACTTAGTGACCCTATGAACAATAGATCTATATCTTGTCCTATCCTACATCATCTTCACCATCTCTGATATACTTGAGCCCATTGTTACAATCACAGTGTCAATCCATTTTGTTGAAGATCTTTGTCTCTTGCTTGACCCTCTACTTTTCACAGCATGATGCCTTCCCCCAAGGTTTGGCCCCTTCTGACAACATTCCCAAAGTATGTGAAACCAGCTTTCACCATCTGTGCCTGCAATGAGCACTCTGTTGTACTTCCTCTAAGACAGATTTGCTTATTCTTTTAACAATTATGTTATTTGATAATTTTTGTGAGCCACAATTCAAAGGCATCTTCCTTATTAATTGTCTCTTTTTTTTTGATACATATGAAATAATTGGAAATACCATGTCTTCGATCAGGTGCACCCTAGTTTTCAAACTGATATCCTTGCTCTTTCACTTTGGAGAGGTCCTTAACAACAGATTTTCCAAGTGCAACATGTTTTGATTTTTTGACTGCTGTTACCATGTTGCTTGTGCATCCAAGTGAAAAGAAACAACATATTATTGCTAGGTAAACGAAAATGGTCCCATTGTCGCTAGAATTTCTACTTCTAAGATAAAGCCCTCACCCTGGTTCTTGCCTGTTCAACTACTAGTGGAAAGCTGAAATGGCAAAAAAAAAAACAACACAGGACATTCCAGGAATACTACAGTAAAATGAGGTCAACTAAGACTACACCTGCAAGATAAGAAAAAGACATCAACAGAATACTGCACAACCAACACTTTCTTATGTGATCTGCTGAACCCGCCAAAAATTTCTGCATATAAACCTCCCTCCAACAGCACCCCACTTGAATACCCCCTCAAAAACCTTTGAACTGTCAGTGTGTCTTCAGACCTGTGATCCAAGTGCCTTAGTTGGACAATAGATCACTATGGCCTAAAAATAGTGCTTTTAATTTTAATATCTTAATTGACTTAGACAATTCTTTCAAATGATAACAGAAGTGGTTTGAAGTTCCTTATGTCCAGGCCTTCTTCGCCCTCACACACACAGAACTCTCTAACTCCTGCTTTCCCTACCAAATTTTCCTCCTGCATTAAATCTCTCCCAAACCCCTCCCTACTGATGAATCTTCTTCTGTTCTACTTTTGATCCTGCTGGCCTGCCCCCTTCTTGTTCCTACAGGCACCTTCTACTTCAGCCTCCTGCATTCTATACAGATGTATACCAAAACCCCAACTTCGCCCCCTTGGAACCTAGTTTTACCAGACCTCTATAAGCTCTCTTTGAATACCCACTTAGAGAAGTTGCAGGAGCTGAGGGAATAGTTAGGGTTCACCCCCACTTCTCTCATAGATCTTTCTCAAATCAAAAAAGGGTTGGGCTCATTTACTGATGACTCTACCACCTTCCTTAAAGAATTCAATGGTTAACTTAATTCTATGACTTGCACATGGAATGACTTATATGTCATTCTTTCCTACATCATAACCCCAGAGGAAAGCAATGAAGTGTGGTGGAGGCCTAAAACCAAGAGGATCAATTCAGCTGTGAGGCCCCTGACCTCCCAGTAAGGACTGAAGCTGTCCCAGATGAAAACCCTCATTAAGATTACCAAAAGGAAGGGAACTCTGATGGCCTAGTAGCAAGAATCTGCCCTGCAATCTTGAAGACAAGCAGTTTGAATACAGTAAATACTCTTCTGAAGAAAGCAGGGCAATCTTCTCCTGTGCCATTCAGATCTATCCGATTTGACTGGTACACAACAAGGAAAAAACAAAAGCAAATTAAAAACATTAATGAGAGGGAGACAATAGATGTAGGCTGTGTATCAAGCTCCTGCTTGATAGGAGGACTAAAAAACAATTTTTCTTATATAGCAAGAAAATTTAAAAAAATCTCTCTGAGGATGTTCAGGAACAACATGAAAACCCTGCCACCTTCCTGCTCCGCCTTATGGCAGCTTTTAAAAAAATACATCAATATTGACCCCACTAGTCTCCAAAATAGTTTTGAATCTCAGGCTCATTTCTCAATCAGAACCTGACATCAGGTGTAAACTATAAAAACTAGAAGAAGGCCTTCAAACCCCTCAGTAAGACTCAGTAAATCAAGTCTTTAAAGTTTTTAATAATAAAGATGAGGCAAAAGTCCAAACAACAAAAGGCTCCAATTGTTAGCCTCCGCTATTAGAGGCCTCTCCTCTCAGAAAACCCCCAAATAAGTATCCAAAACCTTTACATGGCTCAGAGCCCAGGCACATCCACCAGGTCCTTGCTTGAAGTGCTGCCAGAGCGGACACTGGGCAAAGAAAGCATTGCCCTAAACCTCCATTCAAGCCCTGCCTTCTTAGGACCACATTGGAAGTCAGACTGCAGACAGGCCACACCTCCCTGCACAACAGAGAAAGAGATGCTCCTCTAGGCCTCATCAGCCTTGCTGCTGAAAATTAAATGTGCTTGGGCACAGATGCCTGAACACCATCACCATGTCTGAGCCGTAACCCTGATGAAGCAGGCAAACCAATTTCATTCCTTATTGATACTGGAGCAACCTACTTTACCCTTCTTAAATTTATAAGCCTCCAAAATGTCAGGTGTGGGTATAGTCAAGGCTCCCAATGTTTGTGCATGGCCCCTTTACAGTGCACTGTCCAGATATATGGTTGTGTGTTTTTTTTCTCTCCCACTCATTTCTGGTCCTTCCCATGATATCACAGTCAAGCTACAAGCAACCCTTACTTTCTGTACCCCTACACCATTCTATTCTACAGTTAACCTATTCTACCTACTCCTTTAAACATTTCAACACTCCCTCTAACTAATCATCTTGTAAACCCTATAGTTCTGGACACAAGATCCTCAGCATTTACCAAACATGACACTGCTATTCAGATATATTTAAAAGAATATTCAAAAGAGAATTTCACAAAAACAATACCCTATCCCTTTGTTTTTCTTGTTGTGTACTGTCAAGTCTGGAACAATTCATAGCTGACCCTCAGGGAGGCGGCTGGTAGTTTCAGAGGCAGAAATCACACAGGAGGGGATTGCTAGTCCTTCTCCTCTGGAGCTG